GTAATTCAAGTCCGGTGCAAAAACGCATGATCGCACGGGCCCACCCGGTGCGTTCCAGCCTGAGTTTGAAAATAACTCAGCTGTTCAGTGAGTAATTTTCCCGCCAAAAATTTATGTGCCCGTACACAAGAACTACGCGTAAGTTGAGGCTGAATTTGAAACCTTTAAGTGGCATTTGGACAGGGAGTATTCTTCTAAAGCCTCAGCTTTCCAGCTTTTCTGGTTCCTGAGTTAGCCATTTTCCCGTCAAAAGATTTCACGGGCCCAAACGTGAGAACCGCATGTGCTTGGCAGCTGGATTTGATAATTGTAAGTTCTGCGTGGGTTGTGAACATCTCTTTAAAATTTCAGCTTCCCAGTTTTCCTGGTTCCCGAGTTAGTCATTTTCCCGCCAAAAATTCTCACAGGGCCGTGGGTGAGAACCATGCATGCCTCGGGCCTGAATTCGATAATTTTAAGTTGTATATGTGCTGGAAACATTCCATGAAAATTTCAGCCTCCCAGCTTTCTTGGTTCCCAAGCTAACGATTTTCGTGCCAGGAGCCCTCATGAGGCTGTACCCGGGAACCACGCACGTCTGGGGGCTAAATCTGAAAGCTTTGAGTTATATATGGACAGGGAATCTAACCTCAAAAATTTAACCTTTCTATCCTTTCTCGTTCCTGATTTATCAGTTTTCCCGCCAAAACTTTCACCCTCTCGTATGTGGAGTTCAGACTTGCGTGAGGGTTGGTACCGCGGTTCTGGGGTGACACTTGGCCGGGGAAACCATTAGCAAAATCTTGGCACCGGAACTTGCTTGGTTGCCGAGTTGAAATATCCAGAGAGACGGACACACACATACAAACATACACACACACATACACACAGACAGGATCGTTACAATATGCGTATCTGCAGTTTGCATATAGCAAAAGTGCATAAAAATGCGTGATCGCCTCAGTAACTCTAGTGTGCAGAGTTCTGAACTTTTTTATATGCCCCTCATTTTGCTATCATTTCAAAAGTGGCAAATCAAAACGCCGGATGGCGTAAAATATGATTTTACCCATTCTGAGGCTGCACATTGGTAGGAATTTCTTTTGAAACTTCATCTTTTTAGCTCTTCCAGTTCGAGTATTCAAATACACTATCCAACAGGCAAAAAAGTACACAAATCGCCCTACCTTATGCTCTTTTCTGCATCAACGATTCAAGTAACATAAACAATTTTTGACATTTACGAAAACCGCTTGTTTTGTTTTTTCCGTGTATCACTAATTATGTACTTCTTTTGAGCGACAGATTATGACTCGCAGTTATCAAATTGGATTAAACAGCACATCCCCACCACGCAAGCTAGCATAAAAGCAGAAAAACTGAACAGATTCTGTGAATCTTTCTGAAAACATGCGGTGGGTAGGTATTAAAGCTACAGTCACTTTTGGAAATAGAATTTCATTCGTTTTCACCTACTCAGAAGCTGTAACAGGGAAGCCCTGCAACGAACAAGATTTAAATGCCCCGAAATGCCGGCCGCTAAGGCTTTATTGGCTTCCTCAAAATGAACTGCTGACAGTTTTGATTCTCCGGCACGCACCTGTGCCAACTGAACACCGAAATTGATGAACAAATCGAAGAGCGATTGATTGTTCCAGTGCCGAAGCCAGATCCCCGACATTCAACGCAACAGTACTTGCATCGTGCCTACCAACTTCAGCTGCTAATTGATGCGAAAAAAAAGTTTTATTTGATCTAGATTATAACTGGTCGGAAGTCAGACCCTAGATTACTGATTATGTGAAACGCAGATGCGGATATGAGTTGATTTTAAACTTTTTAATTCCAGTGAACAAAAATGAAATACCGTCTCTAGTAAAATTTATCTGAATTTGCACTGGGCATAAAAAATGTGGGTGAGGAAGTTAATGATGTTGATTTCATACTTGTAGGTTCCTGCAAGGTTAGAAATTTTTCTGATTAAGTTTTTGCTTTGGTTAATTTTTGTGCTGCAAAATATGCTTGAAGTTGATTCAGAGGTCAATGTTTAGAAGAAAGAAAGTTTGGTTTCAATTTCATGGCCATGTATTTGATCGCAAATTTCCGTTCCCAAATCCCAAACTTGTGACTTTTTGATTGGTTCTATAGAATTTGTTCCGATTTGAATCTGAAGTTAAACATTACTAGTTGAAGCAGCTTGAAAACTGTTGATTTCAAGCTCAACATCAACGCATGATGTGAACTTTACTAAGTGAACTTACAGCTTCTTTGTTTTCGTAATTCGATAGCTGAAATATGCTCAGACGTATTCTCGCCAAAATACGCATAACAAAGGCAAGCATACACAAACAGGCAGACATGGTGGTTCGTAAAATACTTACGCGCACAGGGCAGTGTCCTTTCACTTTTACATGGTTTTGTTAAATGATATAAGCAAAAATGCATAAAAACGAAGCTGTCAAAACATATCTTAAAAAAGTGTTAAAAATATACATACTTTTCGAAAAAAAGAGACACTGCTGCTTCATCTCATTTACTGACTGCAGTTGGCATGGCCAATGTAAATTGATTTCAGAATTAGTTCTAGCGCAGCTGAAGGACTCCCACAGAATCTTTGTTTTTCCTAAACAAAAGAAAAGCCACTGTTTTGCCGCTTTTCTTTTTTTTTTTTAATTAAATAAATGTTATGTTTGGCTTCGTACAACAGAAGGACGTAGAGTTCTGCGCTCTTTTTAGATTTCCGAATGTTCTTCAGTAGTTTTCTGACTACCCCCAGATAAATTAGAATAGTCGTACTATAATCATATATTGCATATTCTTCAGTCAGTGCAACATCCGTCAACCAGTTTTGTGCCTCGATTATAACAAAAATCATTGATGGAAAAACAATCTGCTTTGTTGTGCTATTTTACTGGGCACTTTCTAAAAGCTAAACTGTCAAGTATTTGTTGAAACGAAAGCGACTTGCTTTCCGAAAAAAAGAATTTTGAGCTAGACTTGAAGAGCCATGAATTTCAAATCTTGTCTCGCTTTATTTGGCTGACAAACTGCAATTTTCAAGGGCAATTCGCCGAAGGCAGGCAGGCAAAAAAATTCATTCTGTTTTGTGAACAGTGACCAGAAGCGTTTTTGAGAGACTAAATTCAAAAAAAAAAAGAAATGAAAGACATACGAAAATATCAAACTGTGCATAAGATGATAAAATGAAACGGAAAAGCTTAAAGAATATTTGTCCTCCTTCCTCTCAAACCTTGTCGTTTGCTTTGTGGTGCATATGTTCATTTTTCTGTGTCGGAGTTCTTGCGGAGTTATACAATACGAATATAAGCACTTATACAAATTTTAATTCGAAAAAAAACTAATTAAAATACAAGGAAAAGTGCTACAAATAACAATGGAAAAGTGTCAGATCACGGCATCACGGCCGTTTCCTCACGGAAGTGATTCCTCACTTGTGAAGCGCCTGAAGTACTAAGATTTTGTGCAGTGGCAGATCGGAAAAAAAAATCAAACGCGTGAAAAATAATTGCTGGAAAAAACTACTTATTCAACCCCAGAAACGAGGGCCCCTGAACCATCGGGCGCCGCCGTATCCTCCATATGGCCCATAACTGCCGCCATAAGGTTCATAGAAGCCACTAGGTCCATATCCGCCGTAGCCCCATCGTCGCATTCCCCAGCCACCAGGTCCGAACCACCGCTTTATGCGATCGCTGCAATTTGCATGATTGTTTGAGTACGCATAACATTAGGAAGGACTTCAATTTAATTTTCTAAAATAGCGTTGCCTCCAGAAGAAAGTAGGTCAAGGCGGACTAGCTAGACTCTTTTTCTCGATTAATCTGTGACTGACTATGTATGTTACTGTTTGTTAATAAACTTGCAGAAGATCGTCCAGCGCAAACCCTTCTTGGTAAGTTGACCAATTCAGCATCACAAAATTCACTCGCCTATGAACAAATACCGACACACAATCAACCACTTAACAATTACGCTTTTACAACTGTAAAAATATGCAAAAATGCGTAAAAAATTCGTTAACACTAGTTTTGCTGTTTTTCTGCACAGCATTATTGCGCCGAAACAGTCGGCAAAAAAGCCTTTATCGGAGCGTGACTTGTTTGTTCGTCTATCCGGTGTTTCACTTCAGCAACAGAGCTAGCTTAGAAGCTGAAGTTTTGCCATTAATCTGGCCAAGTGTGACTCCGGAAGCATAATGTCAACAATTGTGCACGTCCACGTTTCATCTATGTACACATAAAAGTTTTAGCAAGAAAAATGCTGACTTGGAAACCAGAAAAGCTAGGAAGCTGAGATTTTAGGAAAGTGTTCTCTGCCTGTGTGCAACCCAAAAATTCCAAACTCATTTCTTAGGTTCGCTCAAATCTCACGTATAGACAAGTGAAAATTTGGGAAAAGAGTTGTTGGTAACTTACCAATAAAACCGTAAATTTGAACATATAGGGCAGTCAACAACTTGGGCAGAGAATTTTTAATACCCTCTGATATCCAAACTTGGCTTCCACAAAAACTCAGTCTTACGCATGAACACTGTGGGCTTCGGCGAAATTTTTTCAGCTGTGAGGACGCAATTTTAAGAGGATGTTTCTTCATATGCTATCCAGAAAATTTATTTTTAACGGACGGGTATTTGCTTAATTTTTACAGACTTAAGGTCATTTAAAATTTAAATTGTAAAGGTTTTCATCCCTGCAACCAGTTACAGCCTAAAATGCTCTAATAGTTTGCACTATGGTCATTGTCGTGGAATTGTCTGTAACACAGACACTGAAAATATCTTTTACAATTACCTGTGTCGCGATGTATGTATGTAGCGGATGTAGAAATTTGAAATTTCAAAGTTTTCAAACTCTGCAACAGACAAACTGGAATGCTCAAACTTCTTTTACCACATTTTTGGCCTTGCCTCTATAGCAATCAAACATGCTTGAATTTCAAACAGAAAAATTCTATTGCGCAATAAAAATAAAAGAAAAAACTCAAAAGCAAACTGTAATTCAACAAACTGATAATCACTGAGCCGCCCGCACTAATAAAAGTGGTGCGCAGTTATAGTCGTTTTTCCTCTTCTCAAAGTACTACCTTTCCAGTTAAAGCACTCTTCGTCCTAGTTCTTAATTTGGAATGCACCAGGCGTACCAGTGCGATCAAGCGTTTTTGTACGAGACTTGAAGTATGCAGGTCGTTAACTGCATGAACGTTTGCTGCTTTATACTTACCTTTTGCACTCACTAGCGCAAATTATCGTAAATTTTCCATTAAGAAAATGAACAATTTCAGTTTAGCGGTCGTTCTTTGAAAATGGCCTTGCTGTTCGACGAGCAGTTCTCCCGCCAAAACTTTAAACGTCCATACGTGAGAATCATGCAGGTTTGAAGGATGAATTTAAAATATTTAAACTGTACTTGGATAGGAAAGATTGCCCTAAAATTCCATCTTTCCAACTTCCCTGGTCTACGAGTTAGCAGTTTTCCCACCAAAAATTTTTACGGGTTCGTAAGTGAGAATCACGCACATCTGGGGACTCGGGCAGGGGACATAACAACAAAATTTCAGCTTCCAGCTTTTCTGGTTGCCGAGTTAGCAATTTTCCCGACAAAACTTTCACGTGGACAGGCACACCTAGGGCACACCTACGTGAGAGCCATGCATACCTAGGGCTGACTTTGAAATCTTTAGTTCACACGTGCGCAAAGAACACTCCTGCAAATATTCAGCTTTCTAACCGTCCTGGTTCTCAAAATCACTTTCTCGCCAAAAAATTTGCATATTTTTGTGGGGCCCGTAAGCGGCACCCAGGCATACTCGGGGACTGATATCAAAACGATAGGGTCGCACATAGTATGCTCTCGAAGTTTCAGCATTCTAACATTTCTGGTTCTCGAGCTGAAAGTGAGTGACAAGAAGTTCGAACACACAAGCACTTACATACACACACAGTACGCGTTTTTGCATTTGCATATATGTAAAAACGCATATAAAGGTAAACAACCTAGCAAATATTAATTTGTGAATCTATAGAAAATTGAAAGGAACAGTGAAAAGATTTTCGGCGTACTGGGCGATTTCGCGAGCGCCGCTGTCAGAATGAGGAGTTTCTTCGTTTTTCATCCGTTTTTGGCACAAAACAGCGCATATCAGCAGAAGCAGTGAGAACACGACTCCAAAACGTTTCATATCTAAATTTTTGCTTTTCTTGAAAAATAAATAAAAACGTGACTGGAAGCTGACATGGTAATGGTTTTGTAAAAAGCTACTTCTAGATCAAATTGACTGAACGCAGAAAATACATACGGTCCCCTCTATTTCATCAAGATGGTTTTTGACTGTTATGCACTGTACTATACCAAGTCCTTCATATTCCCAACGCTAGAACGCGTAGGAGGAAATTGAACCTAATATTACTACTTTTGGACTTGCATATGATCAGGGAGACAATGCACCCAAATTTCAGTTTCCAAGCTCGATGTTGTTCTGCGGTTAAAATATTGCAAAAAACAGTCTTTCTAGCATATCTAAAATAAAGATATGGCTCCGTCACAATCTACTTTTTATGCTTTTCATGCAAAACAAATGAAAATGAGAAGCTAGCATAATTTAGCGTAAGTGCTCTTCCGAATAAAAGGACTGTTATAACAGGAGTATAAACCCAGTCTGGAA